TACTGCGCTAAATCTGTTGCCTTTCAAATATGGGCATGCGTTTTATATAAGTGGATGGATAACTGAGGATTATACTGATTTAAATTTATGATGTGAGTGTTTAATTTTCAGAATCTAGGCGTTGCTAGTGAGGCGGTTATTGTGCATTCCTAATGGTGACTATCTTCTTGAATTGCTGCCGACTATAAAGTTTTGGTACACCTTTGGGAATCTTAGGGAGCAAGTTCCAGGATTTTGACCCGGTCACGATAAAGTCCCAATTCAGGATGGTGTCTGACTGGCAGATGCTGATCTCTCATACATCTGCTGGCCTTGTTGTTTTTGATGGTAGGCTTCAGTTTTGAACATGCTGCACAAGAAGCCTTAGCAAGTTAATAGCGTGTGTTTCACAGGCCATTCACGCTGCAAACATGGTATGCTGCTGATGAAGGGAATGGATGGGTGGGGTGGCAATATTGTAAGCCAGCAGTGGGGACGTTTGCTCAGAATTGCACTATGTTCAGAACTATTCACAACAACTTTAGATCCTGAAACGGTCCATGTCCAAATGCAGCAAGACATGGACAGCATCTAGATTTGGGTGGAAAACTGGCAAGGAATGCTTGTGCCACACACTGCCATGCACTGACCATGTGGAACAATACAGAATCTAGCTATCACCTGTTGACATTCAATAGATTCCCATCGCTGAATTTCCCCACGATTAACACCATGGAGGTTACCATTGACCAGAAATTATATCAACCAGCCATATAAATACTGTGATTACAAAAGCAGGTTAGTGACTGGGAATTCTGCAGCAAGTAACTTAACTTCTAGCTCCCTAGTATCCATTCATTATCTACAAGGCACAAGGTGATGGAATATTTTCCACTTACCTAGATGGGGGCAGCCCCAAAAACACTCAAAAAGCTTGTCACCATCCAGGACAAAGTGTGCTGATTGGTATCCCAACCATCACTTTCAACAGCTACTCCCACCCCCACCACCTCCCCCACCACCCCCCCCCCCCCCCCCCCCCCAACCCCCCCCCCCCCAACCCCCCCACCACTGACACACAGTGGCAGCAGTGTGTACCATCTACAAGATGGACAGACAATCCTGGGGTTGTGAACGGGTTACATTCTGATGTCTGTTTGCAAGCCAAATTGTACAAGTGTCAGAACACAATGCAGGACAATGGAAATGAGCTGCTCGTAAGTGCAGGAAATGCTCATTTGATGGATCTTTTGTAAGTTGGACGTTAGTACATTAGGGAACCCCTACACTGCACCAGCTCACCAAAGCTCCTTCAACAGCACCTTCCAAACCTACAACCTGAACCATGTAGAAGGAGACTGGCAAAGATGTTTTGGAGCACTACCACCTGCAAGTTCACCTCTGAGTCATGCATTATCCTGACTTTGAATATATTCACTATCGCTGGGCTAAAATCCAGGAGCTCCCTTCCTAATAGCACTATGGGTGTACATGAAATGTATAGATTGCAGCAGTCCAAGAAGGTGGCTCAACAAATGCTTTGCCTTGTGCTTTAAGCCAATACTGCTATCTGTGCATTGAGATACTGGTGCAAGTATCTCAGGCTGACTGTACCTGAAAATAAACTGACCCTCAGGCTGTTTACTCCTTATCTCTTAAGAAGGCCTTCAATTCTTTATGTATTATAATAGCTCCTTTAATTACCTGCATACAGGTAGGTTATCAAATATAGCTCTAATGTCTAAGGCCTCTCACTTCACATGCTCATTCTAGACCAGTGTCATCTTTGATGTCTGAGTCATGTCATCAGTTACATTATCACAACTTACATAAATCTCATTTCTACCACAACTAGCACCTTCTCAAGGCCAGTTCCAAATGGTTAACAAATATAGGCCTAGCCAGCACTATCTACATTCGATGAAAAAAAAATATTAAAAAAATCATCCAGGTTGCTTTCCAGGATGCTGCCAAGGATCTTGAGCATTAGAGCAAATGGAGAACATACCAACAGATTCCTGGCTTGAAGGTGGGAGAGGGGTTTGAGAAATGAGAGAAACGTTCATAACATCTCACCTTTCCACATTGTATTTTAAGGGGAAGGGATGGCCTAGTGCTATTGTCACTGGCCTGTTAATCCAGAGACCCAGTAATGTTCTGGGAACCTGGGTTCGAATCCTGCCAGGGTTGATGGTGGAATCTGAAGTTAATAAAGAGATTTAAGAGTCTATTGATGACCATGAAACCATTGTCAATTGTCAGAAAAGTCCCATCTGGTTTCCTAATGTCATTTAGGGAAGGAAATCTGCCATCCCAACCTGGTCTGGTTTACGTGTGACTCCAGACCCACAGCAATGTAGTTGACTCTTAATTGCCCTCTGGGCAATTAGAAAATGGCAATAAATGCTGGCCTGGTCAGTGATGCCTTCGTCCCATAAACAAAATCACAGAGTCATAGAGCTGTACAGCATGGAAACAGACCCTCCAGTTCAACTCATCCATGCTGACCATATATCCTAAATTAAACTAGCATTTAGCCCATATCCCTCTAAACCCTTCCTATTCATATACCCACCGAGATGCCTTTTAAATGTTGTAATTGTACCAGCCTCCACCATTTCCTCTGGCAGCTCATTCCATACATGCACCACCCTCTGCGTGAAAAAGTTGCCCCTTTGGTCCCTTTTAAATCTTTCCCCTCTCACCTTTAACCTATGACCTCTAGTTTTGGACTCCCCCACCCTGGGGAAAAGACCTTGTTTATTCACCCTAACCATGCCCCTCATGATTTTATAAACCTCTACAAGGTCACCCCTCAATCTCTGACGCTCTAGGGAAAACAGCCTATTCAGACTCCCTGTAGCTCAAACCCTCCAACCCTGGCAACATCCTTGTAAATCTTTCCTGAATCCTTTTACGTTTCTCAACATCCTTCCTATAGAAAGAAGACCAGAACTGAACACAGCATTCCAGTAGTAGCCTAACCAATGTC